TGGTTTTTTAGATTAATTTTTTAATCTACTAAATTTTTTTATTCATTTTTTCACAAAGAAAGTATTGAAAATTTGTCTGAACTTCTTTCACAGCAGAAATTATTAATAATTTAACAGGGATTTTGTTTTAAAATGATGCTTGAATGGATAAGAAATTAATCTCAGTTGAATAGCATCTCATTCTGTAAGTTGATTTGATTTTCAAACCTCTTAAGTGTTACATTTTATTCTGAATTTAAAACTGGAGTATGATTTATTTATTCAAAGAACTTGAATGTCAAAAAGCAAAACAACCTTGAAAATGCAAATCTAAAATTCAAAGAAAATGTTTGATGTCACAGAATATAAGTTTCAATTTAAACTTCAGAATGATGATTTTTCTTTTTGTTATGGAGAAGTAACATGAGGTGGAAGTACTGTACTGTACAAATTACATGTTATTTCTTGCTAATTTAAAGTACTGTACTAGTTCTTTTTAGAAAAAATATGTATTGACATCCCATCATATAATTATTATTCCTCTCCCTCTTGTTACTTGCCACTATAAAGAAAAGATCCCATTGAAGTCAATCTTGACAAGCCTTGCAATTTCTTCAATAAAATGGCCTGGTAATTACCATCACTATTGTTGAGAAGAAGAAGAGTTTTTTGTATATTTAATCTATTCCGAAACAACTTCCTTTCTTTTGCACCCGAAAAATCGGCGTGGACAACGAAAGACCTGTACGGAAAGTAGGCACTCGGTAAAAAGAGGGACGTTCAGCTTGGGTCGATTCCTGGGTTTCCTTGGGGTGACCTTCTGCCAGCAGTGCCTGCAGAACAGGTTCATTCCACTGAGCCCTGAGGGTGTATATCTTGTTGGCTATGAACCCCATTACTGAGCAAAGGTTCAGTTACCCTGTGGGGAAGTGTTGACTGATTTTTAGAGCAGATTGGAGGGAATTTCCAGCATCAAGATACAATTAAATCCTGCTGTGTAGCAAAGCTTGGAAAATATCTTTAATTTATAATTATATAATATATAAAATATATGTATTATATAATATAATGATATACAATAATATAATTATTATATATATATTATTATATAATATATAGTATATTATACAGTAATATATAATATTATATTATATAATATATATTATATAACTTAAATTTTATTTTTATTTTAATATCCAATTCAAAATCTGTTGCAAATGAGAATTTTTTGTGAGCAGAAATGTCAAAATTTATGACGTTATACAACTTTTCTTTTCAAAAATTGTTTTTAGTCACCACTTCTTATTAGATACACTAGTCTAAGTAAAATACTTTTAAGATTACATTAATATTAAAAGTTCAATTAAGTAAGTCATCTCAAATTTGTTGGTTCACCCTGAATAGTTCTGTAGTCAAATTTCCTTTTCAATTTTGTGCTGGGTTGGAGCAAATACTTTTGTATATTCTAAAAACATTGATTTCTTTGTTTAGTGATCTATTGTAACCTGCTGTAAATGAGTTATTGAACACTTCAATGGTAAGAACAAATGATCAGCTGTACTTTTAGTTGGAAAACAGAAAACCCTGTTCCAAAACTGTTCTGCTTTTAATCTCTTTTTCAAGACAGTATTGCGTATTTTTGATTTTCTGCTGAGACATATAGGCAAATTTTTCTTGTGCCACTAGGTGATGATTTATATGCTGGTGGATCAGAAAGCCTCTTCTTAACAAATTTCGATCACTAGTGAGATCTATTCATGAATAAAATGTTTTTATTCATTTGTTTTTCAGATCTGTGCTTGAGGGCAGTTCTTAGTTGCCTGACTTAAAAAGTGTACAAGATTTCAAGGAAGGATCTGTTTGAAGACATGAAAGGACAAGACAAGGAATTTGACAACCCTGCCTACCAGGTTGATGTGGAACAAGGCTCTTCTATATCTGGCCCAGTGACGTCTGATGAGACTGAAGCAGTGAACATTGAGCTGGTGAATGCTGGAGACAACCGACGGGTCGGGTTTGAGTCTGAGAGCTCTGATGGATACTTCATGGCTCGCAGTGTCTCTGGGTAAGCTTCAGGAAAATATCAAATTTTTAATACAGTAACTTTTTTATGGGTTTTTTTTCTATAAATGGAAACCGCCCAACTGGGCGCTATCCAACTCAGCGCATCCAAACTGAACTTTTCTTGCAAGATTTATTGTATTGTTGTAGCAAGGTTTCCTTTGAGTTCAATTTCACTCTCTTGAGTTTCTATATAGGTTCTCTGGCGTTTTTTATTGTGGCAGCTATAACAAATAATCCTAAGGACTTTTTTGCACCTTCGAAAGATACTGTGTTCTGAAAATTATCCCAAATTCTGGCCATTTTGCTTAAATTGCTAGTATTGAAGTGCATGAGAAGATGGCTTTTACACCACAGTACAGTATTGCTATTTTATTTTTATTAATGGGAGTGACCCTGTTTGACCATCAAGTAGAATCAGGTGATAGATCAAACACTCATTTGTGTGGTGCCAAGTTGTTCCTGGACCTTTCAATAAAATCCACACAGTGAACCAGAAAATTAGATTTCAATTCAATTACTGTACTTTTTAAATTGGAAAACAATGCTGAACTTCTGTTGATCTGAATTTTTGAATAAGGGAAAATCAGTCAAATTTAATTTTTTACATTTTAAAAATCCAAATCTCCCAGTTTCTGTTTAGGCAAACATTTGAAAGTAATTTCAAAGAAACTCTTATTTAGAGGTAATTCATCATGTTGAATTCTCTGCAAATTTTATATTTTCAAATCTATTCTCAAGTCATCCTTCGAGGTTTAAAATTTATACAATGATCTATGAATATGAGACAAAAAGGAGAGGTTGGAAATAAATTAATTTTAAACCATATTGAGTGACTTTCATAGTGTTGTATCATCATTTAGCAATGATTGGTAGGTGATGTACCAGTACAGTATTACAAATTATTGTAGAGCAAAATCTGAGAAAACAGGAAAAATTAATGTTATTTAATTAATTCCATCAAGTTCACCATGTTTTTTTTATGACCCTCACACTTGTGCATAAAAGCTTGGAATGTAACAAGACATTTCAAGTTTTATCATGCAACTGTCTTTTAAGCCCAGCTGATCACTACTTTCAGGTGGTAATTTTCCCAACTTGAAAAATGATTTTCTTGTTAACTTTTGACAGTGAGAAACTGACACAAGTTTTAGAAATGTGATGACTATAGAAAAATATGTGAGGCTTTAGTTGTTGTGTCATCTAGATTATGTTTAAATAATTAAGTATGAAATGTCTTAATATTCTCCTGGGAAATCTGATGCATTTCATATTTTTTCACAGGGCCAAGAGTTTCTATCCACTAACTGATGAAGACGATGAGAAAGTAGCCAGAAGAAGGCGATTGTTGCTGCTGGTTCTTTTCTTTGTTGCTGTTGGTGGACTTGGTGTCTTGATTGGCGCCATGATTGGAGATGGTGAGAAGTTCCATTCTTTTCCCTAGTAATATAAATCAAGATTTTTCAAAATCCCTTCATGCTCTGTGGCAATCCTTTTTTCTTGTGTCCCAAAAATTACTTACTGACTGGAAAATGTCATGAATTTATAAAATTCATGATTCAAAATTTGTTTTAAAAAATGCTGTGAAAACCTTTTTAAATAATGCTTGTCTTCAGAAATGTGAGGGACATTTACTGTAGGAGGAATTGCAAAATAATTTAAATAATTTTTCATTTTACTTGGACCTTTTCTATTACAAATAAATGTCTGAAGTCACTCTGCATATTGGTATTAACATTAAAACATTTTCAGCAAAAATTCATTAATGAGCTGACTCTTATCTAATTAGTGTGAGAAGCCAGTCAAGAACCTTTGCATAATTAAAAATAACCACAGTGAGAATTTTCTGGCAAGGTTTCTCCTGTTGATGCCATTGTGTAAGTTGCTGATGAAGCATGATAAATTGATGAAGAGGATGTGATAAAACTTCATCAATTAAAAGTTTTCCTTTCTTTACATCAATGTCTTTTGAATTGTTGAAACAATGCAGGAAGTGAAGATGAAAAGAGCCAAGAGGGACTTGGGGCCACTTCTGGAGCCTTGGTGGCACCCAGGGATGGCAGAGGACTGTTGCTGAATGACATCTGGCCTGATGAAGAAACCCCAGAGGACAAGGACATGGGTATGTAACACTATGCTGTCCTTCTTCACTCACCAGCCTTTGTTCAAATTTTTTAAATATGGCTTTTTTGAAACTTTTTTGTGGAGCCCAAATTGCCTGAAATACCACTTCTGGTGGAACCATGCATCTTAAAACCCCTGGCTTGCAATAAATTGAAGTTGATTTTATTTTTTGTAATTTGGCCAATTTCCAGTGATTTCTGGCAAAATTCAATACTGTATTGATGTTAATGAATTCATCTTTCATCTGTCACATTTTCAAGTTTTTGATGCTCAATTAAGGACCTCTTGTGAAAAAAGGTTTTTTAATGGATTGCCTGATTGTTTCAAGAATATTTTGATTCCTCAATCCTAAATAAATTCAAATCAATTAAAGACACACAATCAATTTCTGAGCTTGTTAGTGATGAATCTTGTCCTGAATGTTTTGTGTAAATGTTGGTACTTTCATGGAAATTAATCTTTTTCTATTTTACTCCTGCAGTGCGAGGTGCCTTGGAAGGAGAGTTCATGATAACAAATTACAGATTCTCCAAGAAGCTGCTTGACACAACCACACAGGGATTCAAGTTGACCAAGATGCTTCTTGAAGAAGCTGTGAGCATTGCATTGCATTTTTAATATTTCAGATTCATAACTGAGGAACTGATTTCAGTTGGTCAATGGCCTGGCAGACTCAGCAAGGCTTTCTGTGGATGAGAAGAGGCACTTTAATGTCAAAATCATAGAATTCTTGTGAGTTTTGACGCAGTGAAAGAATTATGAAAATATGTCAAGAATCTGTGTGTGTGTGTGTGTGTGTAGTGATGGAAGCTTTGGGTGCAAGCTGAGAATGTCCTGGAAGGCACCAGAGGGCGCTAAACCTCTCTTCACCCCTGACCTGGTCAAGTCCTACCTGATTTACCACTTGACACTCAACCAAGGAATGCTTGGTCCTTATTTGATCCAGAAGTCTTCCATACACTTTTCCTGTGAGAATTACCTTCTCAGCTCTTCTATAATATTGACACTCATCCTTATTTATCCTGGTGTATTTCATTCTTGCAGATTTCAAAGATGTCTGTGCTTCTGGCAGAGGAGAATGTTCTCATTGGTGTCGCTTCAGCACAAAACGCTTGGTCTTCAAATGCATGTGTCCCACTGACATGCATCTGGGTGAAGATGGGATAAACTGTGTCCGGGGTGAGTGTGGACTTCTGAAAGCTTCAGATTTCAGAGCAATCTGATTTCTCGCCATTTTCAGTGTGTCTGATATACATAGCCAAGCATTGATGTTGTTTGAACAATTTTCAGTACAACTTTTCCAGTTAATATTGGAGTTTGTATGCATTGCCTTTGCTAAACTGTAGAATTTTGAATCTCACAATTTAGTGTGGAATACTTTGAATATGCATTTGTAAAAATGATGAAATTTCTCTGGACTCTGAAATTAAGAAGTCCAAGGGGAATTATTGCAGTTGGGCAGCAAGAAGAAGTGTATTCCACTTTTTGGTCTCCCATTTTCTTGATGGTTTGAGATCAATTTCTCAAACCCTGAACACTTCTAGAATGCAGTAAATAGCATATATTTTCCCCTCTGTTGTTAAAAAAAAGTAAATTGACATTGAAATACATTACTTGTAATATCTATTATATGGTATTGATTTGTGGAAACCCAATTGTTAGTTGTATAATTTGAACCTTTTTATCTTTTCCTGAAATAAACCTGACCAGATCAATAACTATAGTTCCTTCTGTATTATTATTACTAATATTCACTATTATTATTTCCTTTTGTCCTTGATTATTATTGAGTGAGCAATATGCTTTTGAATTTATGTTTTTGTCCAAAGTACGGAAATGCTCTTAGAAATCTGATGAGAACCCTTAATCGAAGAAAGTCTTGAGATGAATTTTGTTTCAGGTTACCAACATTAAAATATTCTTCAGAAACCCTCTACCACCCCCTGCTGCGGAATTAAAAATTAAAGTTTGGATTATTGTATTCCGATGGTTGCCATTTTATTTTTAAATCCACTTCATTTTTGGAACTATTCACTCCTAATGTATTCTTGATTTTTTTGCAAGGCCGTGATTAGTAGTGTTTCCATGTTATTTTGGTTGTCAAAAGATTAAAATTGTGTCAAATTATTAATCAGTGATTTCTGATCAAACCTGGAAACTTTCAGTATACGCGAACACCTGGGACTTTCCTGGCCCTTGAAACAAAGCATGAAAATGTTTAATTTATTTTTTTAATGACAATTTCCAGGCCCTGGTCCAGTGGACTCTGAAGACTCAGACGAGTCCCCGGCATCAGCTGAACCCGAGCCCCAAAATCGCCCCGAACATTCCCAAGTCTCCAACAGCAATGAAGTCATCTTTTCCACTGATGACGATGAGGATTATGACGACGAGTCTGGCCTGACGCTGTATCGTCCCGATGGCGAAGACGAGCAAGAAGAAGCTGAAGATAAACACAAATCAGTCATCACTACATCTTTACCCGAGTTGCCGCAGATGCCTTGGGATTTGCCGGAAGGTGTGTCACCTGCCGACTTGGGCTTCAGCGTGCACTCGGACGATCACGCGCACGAAGAACCAGATGTCGCTCCTGAGCCGTCACCCGTGCTTCCGCGCGGCAAGGCCGGGAAATCCTTTGACCCCTTGGGATCGATGACCAAATCTGGTGAACCAGCACCTGAACCCGTGTCTGTGGGTGTTCCTGAGCCTGTTGGTGAACCAGCACCGAGTTCTGAACCCGAACCCGAAGCTGTGGGTTCAACTTCTGAACCTAAAGCCGAACCCAGTAATATTGAAAAAGTGGGTTTGCCTCAGCCTGAACCCAGTTTCAAAGAAGTGGCGGGTTCCCCTGAACCTGAACCTGTTCAAAAGCAATCACACGAACCCGTGAATGTATCTCCCGAACCTCAACCCGAATCAGAACCATCTGCGAAGCCAGATGCTGGGTCTCCTGAACCCAAGCCTGAACCTGTGAATAAAGAAGCACCAGTGCTGGGATCTCTTGAACCCAGGAACCCGCCCGAGTCTCTTCCTGAACCTGAACCCATGTCAACCCCTGAACCCGAACCCAAGTAAGCTTTTTTTTCACAAAAGAGATTTAAAAAGAAAGAACTGGAAATGGTTGGTGCTCCTTTTTATATCATCCTCTCAAAATCCATTCCATCTTTTATTTGTAATTTGTCATGTTGGGATTCATTGGAGCTGGTTATGTTTTATTTTATCTTCCTTTGAAGAAATGGCACAAAGACAAGGTTTAGGGTCGTTGTTTTCTGTGTGTGCTCCCATTTTAGTGCCTTGGCTTCATATAGTCACTAGACTTGAAGCAATGTTTTATTTTTCCAGGGACTTTTTTTTTGTGTGCTAGAAATACATGGCAAACATATGGAATCTCCAAACAATAATTTTTGCGCTTTTCTTGTCAGAAATGTTAATACAGTATTTTGAAGGTCTTCCCTTTTCAGGAATAGCATGTGCGACCTGGAAAAACTGTATTAATTTTTGTTAATGTTTTCCAGTGATCACCTTCTTATGATATTGATTGGATCTGAGTCATAGAAAAACAAATGAGTTTTCAAAAGTAATGATGAGGATGGACAAGGCTTTCCCATTGAAATCTATTGGTTGACTGTTCATGTTGGTTGAAAAATTAATTAATATGTATGGGACTTCAAAGAAAAATAATCTCAAACAATTTGTGTTCAGCTGATATTTTTGAAGTACTTTAATGGGCTTCCAACCCTATGGAATNCCCCCCCCCCCCCCCACCCTACCATTTCAGAGAGACCATAGTACTTGAAACATCATGAAAAAAAATGATGTTCCCAAGTTTAGAAATATTTTTGTTAGAATTCACTGGGTTTGTTCTGTGGCTGCTGATAACCTTTGGGTTTGTAAAATCAATAGTAAGGCGCAAGGTCAAGAAAAGAACTTGTAGGACTTCCCTCCTGGTTTATGGTGCATACCAGTATTGAACACACAGGTGCTCTGCAGTCTGGCTGAACTCATTGCAGCAGCGTGATCCATCTTTTTTTCTTTCTCCTTCTTCTGGCATTTCATGTCTAGTTAATGTGACATGCAATCTATTTATGGCCACTCATCATTTGGTGGCTGTTTCTTCTCTGTGGATCCTTATGGAGCTTCCTGATTTACAGGTGTTTTTTTTTACATTTTTTATGGGCGCATTTGAATATATATTTTAATCAGAAAAGTTGTATGGGTGTTGGATGAGGGAATTTCAGTTATTTCTAGGCATACAGTGCAATTAATGCCTCTGGTGTGAGTATTTTTGCACAGGAGTCATTTAATAAATCAGTTGCTCTTGATCTTGAAAGAATCAAGTCTCCTAACAGGCCAACATATATATTGGACATGATGCAGTATTTTACTTGGGTTGAATTTTGCTGCTATATAATACTCAAAATGATTAGAATAAGTTTGATCTGTCTGATTTGTGTTTTTGAGGAAGGAATTATTCTTTCAGGGCAGGCAGGCTTTGCAAAAATGCTAAAATGAAAAATTCTAAAGTTTCCATAGTTTGATACATCATTTTTCTGTAGTTTTTGGCTGAATATTCTTTTGAATGTAAAGTTTTTACATAATTGTTCATAGACTTGAGTTTTTACAGGTCCTTAATTTACTGATTTCTTCAAAGAGGAATTTTCACTCTCAGAAAATGTCTAGCAGGAAAATTCTAATTGTCAACTCTAAATTAAATGTTATTGTTCTGGTGAGTCATGCTGTTGGGAAGAGAACCCTGAGATATTTTTGTGTGGGAGTGGGTTAGTTTGAGGACAGATTTTGTATTTTTTTGGAGAGAAATGGATTCTTTAATTAAATTGATTTTATTCCATGGGTCTGGATGAGAGTGAGGCCAGGTTATGTTATGTGAGGGGGGATCAAGGGGCCGTTGCCAGGGGTAACCATAACCAAGGACCAAGAACTCATGGTTTTTGTCCAAGGTGTTTCTTGTTTGTGGGACATGGGCCTTGCGTGACATCATGTCTGCCAAGCTGAATGAGTTATGAGGCAGCCATAACTTTGCCCTGCTCAAGCAGTCCAGGAACCAGTTCCAGTCTATTGCTTGCTCAGCTCAGGTCAGGTCACAGTAGTGAGACCACACTTTGACTCTTGAAGGTATATATATATAGTGGTTTCAAGAAAAAGAAAGAAAGGAAGAAAAAGATAGTGAGCCATGTTGAGGATTGGAAAGGCTACCCAGTGTGCCACCAGGATCAGCATGGGGGCCAGGTCCAAGGGTTCCTGGGTGCCCCTGGAATCTGCCCCTGAAGTGATGAACAAGTTTCTCCATGGGATTGGATTGCCTGAGTCTTGGGAACTGGTGGATGTGCCCAGTTTGGATGATGGAGATGGTGTCCTGCCTCCTGCTGCTGTGGCCTTTGTTTTCCTCCTGCCCAAGAACTTGGTTGTTGAGGTACTATACTTTTATTTATTTATTTTTCTGTGTTTTTCTAGAGAAGTGTTCTTATGTTAATTTTCACAAATGTCTTACATTACCAGGAAGATGGAGGGCAACAGCCCCCAGAAGAGATGTTCTTCATGAAGGAAACCTTTGACAATGCTAGTGGCCCTGTTGCTCTCATCCATGCTGTGGTGAACAAACTGGATGAAGTGAGTGAAACCCTTGTCATTAAAATATTTTCCAATTCTAAGCAGAAATATGATCAGCTGCAAGATTTTCTTACCACAAATGGGGAAAGCACCCCAACAAGTAGAGCATTATCAGGCGAACAGCATAGTTGTATACAGTATGCAATTATTTAATTTATATCTATTCATACGTTATATATATTTTAATTGCCCTCAATCAAGTGGTTAGTTCAAGGGTAAGAAAATGGTGATCCATTTGTTCAGTTCTCTGAATCAAAATAAGTTTTCTGATTTTGAACTGGAAGAAATTCATGAAATGAACAGGGATTGTGTCTTGGCATCATTAGGGAATGTATTTGTACTGCTATTTTAATTACTGAAGATGTATAGCAGTACTTCAGTCCTAATGTACATGCTTCAATTTTGTCCACCATGGTTTGGGAATGATAAATGCAATCATTTTATGTAGAGACACATTGCTTCAATTGTTGACTGAATGAATGTCATCAAAGTTTAGATATTTGTCAGCATCAAAAAATACATTTCTGATTTTATTATGAGCCAAGCTAGTGCCAATAAATTTGCTCCTACCAACAGAAAGTCTATCTCAGGTTCTTCATTAGTTAGTTGGCTTCATATTCCATCATGTCCAATGGAAGAATAATGGTCTGTAACTCAGCATCTGCTTTTCTCTGTATGCTTTTTCACTGGTGTCATGTTGAGTCTTCAGTCAAGATGAATCCTCACCCATCATGGGAGTGTTTTAATTCAATGTTAATGAGAGCTGTGCTTTTTATGGGCTGGTGACTTTTTGCTTGTACAGAATACATTCTCAAGACATATGCATATGGTGATACATTATGTATGTTTATGCTTTGAAGGTGGAATTGGAAGAGGACTCCATTCTGAGTCAATTCATCTCTGGAACTCAAGCCATGGCTCCAGAGGACAGAGGCAATGCCTTGCTGGAGAATGCCGACATCTTGTCTGCATTGAAAGCAGCTCAGGACCACCATCAAGAAGGCAGCGATAGCAATGACTCCACCAGCCACAGATTTGTTGCCATTGTGAGCAGGGGAGACATGCTGGTCTGCCTAGATGGCGCCAGGGAAGCTGGCCCCTGTGTTCATGACGCCATCAGTGATGCGGGTTTCCCGAGTGACGCTGCTGCTCTCTGTCGCAAGTTTGTCGCTGCCGATCCCGACAACCACGGCTTCTCGGCCTTTGCTCTGATCAAAAAGTAGATGACGCTCTCTCTTTGCTGGGTCTATAGGGTGATTCTCTCGCTGCAGATGTTATATCCCCAGGAATACTGAGCATTTTAAGATTCTTGCTAGTCATCTCCGTAACTTGAGTCTGGATTGCATTCAATACGTAATCTATTGGAATCTGCCATCCTTGGTTCTGTGATCTTCTATTTTTGGATTTCATTCTTTTTCAATGCGAAGGAACTAATTATAATGTTGATTTCTAATAATTGATATTACTAATGCAATAATGTTCATCTTTGATTTTCGTTGTTTCTGGTTATTGACGAGAAAGAAAAATTGAGAATTGTGTTGGATTTTAATAATTGGATCTAGTATCGCATCTTCAGTTAATTCCATTTGATTATTGTAATGTGTCCAATTTTCTTTGAATGCTGAACAAAAAAACTTCAAAATGCAACTTAAATGTAATGGTTTAAACACAGAAAATCGTACTGAAACTACCGATGCGAAAGAGTTGTCCTATGCCCTAGGGATAATTATCCGTTGTCGTAGAATGTAGCTATCCCACGAGTATTCAAGCTGCCGTTGAGGGGGAATAGTATTCGTCTCCTCTCAAGTATTAGAGCTTTTTTTATAGTTTCATTTTCCGTTTCCAACATCTTGTAATTATTCAAGTATTTTCGATAACTGGCAGTATTTATTTTTGCTTTGTTCCGGTGCTTGTATGTTCGATGTTTTAATTGACTGTTCACTGGGAAATATCTGCAATAAATTTCTCTTCCTTACATATTGCCTCAAATTATTTTACCCTGAATTGTTTTGAATTGAAATAATCACATTGATCTATTGCCATTCAGGGAGTGACACATGGGAGCACAAAAACTGTGAAGTACAGATCGATACTCTTCTACGAGTGACATCTATGTATAAAAGAAAAGACGCTTTTGTAAAGCTTACTGTCAAGGATCTAGATGTCACTCAAGTAGAAGCATCGATTGAGAGTGACATCTATACTTCACGGGTTCATTTGATTTTGTGTGTTTTTTTTATCTCATGAGTAGATGTCACTCCTTTCCTTCAATAATTATTGTATAAAATAATTATCTGTATCATTAGTATTGTCATACTTATCAGTGTCAGTGTTAAACATGTACAATTCGTAATAATTACCTTTTTCATTAAATAAACACTGATATTATACGCATCACACATTTATTTTCCTTCCCAAAATTCCACATTTCATATCAATCAATGGCATGTAACACCACAGCATCAAAAAAACTCTCGTTCATAAGCTCTGGCCTACATTTCACACACTCCAATCCTGTGAAACTGAGATCCACTTCAACACAAAAATCACATTGTACCTTCTAAAAAAAACTGGATCGTTACCAGAAAATGAAGAAAACCTTTAAATTCCCCGTTGTCAGGTAGAAGATTTTAAACCGATACACTCTAAGGAGGGTAAAGATACTATCTAACAGTCCAGAATATACTTCAGTAAATACATAAATTAGTATACTGTACAGTATACAGAAACTTTACAGCGGGGAAAAGAATATTCTTATATCAAGTAAATATATCTCGAGTGACTTTTGACATGAAAGGAAAATGAAAAGCCTAAACAGATAACACTTCAACAGTCAGCTTTAAGACATGATCACATTCAATGCCATAATGCATGCTCAAGAATATGAGGATAGCCTGATTTCCGCCGGAACATAGCTATTTATTTTAATTTCAACGTAAAACTCTTCTCCCATTCTCAAAAAATTCAGGGATTACTATTCTGAGCATTATTCTGCTCAATGAAATTACAGAATATTTATTTCCCATCAATCATGGCTGCAGAAAAAATGCAGAGTTGCTAATATTCAAACAATTTTAGAGTGAACATCAAATTAGAAACCATTTTAAATAGTGAGTTCAGTAATCAGGAAAGAAAACTGGACAAGATCAGTTATTTTCCCGTCTCCTTAAATATGATTTCATGGCCATCACATGTATTATTCAATAATATTTCATATTTCCCATGTATACCAAGTCATAAAACATGAAACTTATTTGCGGGATACTCATTTATTACTGTATTTATTAACTGTTTTGCAGGTCTCTGTATATCTTCTTCTTTTCTCTCAAACTTGGGTTAGCAAATATTAAAAAAAACATCAAGGGTTCAAAAATTCCTTTGTAAGAACCACTTACGAATTACGAAACATCTGCTTTAGTTCACGCGGAAACCAGACAACCCTTTCCCTATTTTTCCTCTCCTTCCAAAATACGAAGAAAAGAAGAAACCTGGAATGGCGGCCTTCTCTACACTTAATCATCTACTCATCTCCATCAGCAACATCATCATCCAGAATAACCTTCTCGCACTCATCCTGATGATGGGATCTACTCTTCGACATTGCAGTAGGGCTGGTGCCATAGTCCACTTCTTGCTCCTCTTCCTGCTCCTGCTCCTGCTCCTCCCTTGATGATGGACTCAAAACCAGGTGCTCCTGCTCCTGAGCATCGTCCTTCTCATCGTCGTCGTCGTCGTCTTCTTCCACGACCAGGACTGTTGACGGAGCGTAGTCGGAGACTGCGGGTGCTGCGGATGCCCTGCGCAACAAGAGCTGCTGCACTCGCGGCAAAGACTCCTCAATGTCCAGGGCCACGTTGTTGGCGGTGCTGTTGTTGCGGGTTCTCACCACCACGTGGACCCCGGTGCACGACGCAGAGGATCCTGGTCGACTGCTCAGGGATCTCGCCGGGGATCCCCCGCCACCCCCACAGCCCGATATTGAGATCCCGCACCTACTGTATATAGACGGACAGAACGATTAAAATGGGCAATTTTGTATACACACACACACATCCACTCGTCTTAAGGCCTTTTTTTTGGACAAAATATACAAGAATTCGAAAATATTCAATCCCAGTGGGGCAGAAAACATCAACAATAAATAAGCTTTACAACTACTCATTTTAATAAGTTATTCTAATTTTATAATTCTTTTTAAGATTGATAAAAGTCTCAAGAATCAAGTGATCCTTCAAATTTTGAGCTTTCAACTTTCTAAACTAAAAGTTAAAAATTAAAAGTTAAAAGTTGAGAGCTTGAAAGTTGAGGCTTTTCAAGAAATGTAAAATGGATGATTAACTTGATTTTTAAAATATGTTAAAATTGACAAAAAAATAATCCAAGGCTTTGAGAAAGATCAACTGGGTAACCTTGAATGGCAATGAGAGTACAATTGGTAGCTTGTAATTTGGCCCTAAACCATTCCTGGGCTTGGATTGAATTGCGAGACACTTTGTAAAATTGAGAAATATCAGCACAAAAATGCAAAAAGTGGCCAAAACAGGTCAAATGCCAGGGCAGAGGTCAAAATGCAAGTCAACCTCTGTGCAAATTCAACCATCAAATTAAGGGATGATCAAATTGCAGAATGGTTGAATTGCTGGAGGTTGAATTGCAAGGTACCCACCAGTAATTCTCTTCAATAACAATTTTTTCTTACATTTCAATTTTTATGAGTCTGTTGTCCACCTGTACTCCAATGCTTATATGAAATTCAAATTTTCAATTGAGTGGAATGTTCTTCAAAACAATAAAATTCAAGAATTTTGAGCTCTAAACTTCAGAAAAAGTTAAGCTTATAGACTATACAGAAGGATAACTGAAAGGATCTTCAACTAAATTTTTAGAATATCTATTTGAAATTTTGATGGTCATTTTTAAAGTAGGAATCCCTGCACTTACAAGAAAAAATACAATTCAATTTCTTTCTAAAAGTAACATTTTTTTCAAACCCAGTTCACCATCAATGAATACCTGAAGATATGTCCAGACTGCACCCCATCAGTGCCCAGGTAGTTGAAGCCTCTCAAACCCATTCCAGGTTCAGAAGGAGGTGTGCTCACAAGGTCATCAGTGTCTATCTGGATAATGCTCTCCTGAGACTCAGTCATCTGCAAAAATAGATAAAATATCATCACACATCCTTTCAATAAAATCAATAACCCTTACCCCAGGAGCCAGTTTCTGCATGCATATAAGAAAAAATAGATCAAACAGAAAAGAGAGCATGCAAGAGAGACAGAAACAGAGAAAAAAATGAGACACCATGCAAGACTTTCAATATTTTGACTCAGGAAAAAAAGGTCAAAAAGAGTAATGATGATGATGATGATGAGCTCACCAGGCCATAGAATTTGAGAATATCCATCTTGCACATAGGACATGTCCTTTGATCTAGCAGCCACTGATCCACACATGTCTTATGGAACTCATGCCTGGCACAAAAAAAGATGGAGAACATATTCACACCAAGATCAACCCTTTCAAGAAAATTGCAGTGAGACTCAGATCTAATCTCCCCCCCCCCCCCCTCTGGATGTAAAGAAATAATAAAAATTTCCACTTCTTTATTACCTGCATGGTAAGACCCTGACTGCATCAGATACCTTGAAGGATTCAATGCACACTGCACAACTCTCTCCTTCTCCTTGCACTTCCTGCAATTACATTTTCAAGGTCTTAATCACAGGAAACCCCCCAAAATAAGATTTATAGTAGAAGAGACTTACTTTGTCTGCAGCTTTCAAATGCCTGATGGGAATGTTGGACAATGCCTTCTTGGCAGCACAACACAACCTCTTCTGAAAAAAAAGTCCACATCCTTGATGATCACATGACACAAGTTCAATATAAAAATCACTTATACATAAAAATCAAGACAAGGGATTCTCTTATACTATGAATTTTGAAAATTAAAATTGAGTTCTTAAAAAAGGGCTCCATATCAACTCCAAAAAACTTCAAAATGTAGTTTGCCCAGTGCTTCAGAGTTTACAACCTCATTTTAAACTGGAATGACAATCACTGTACACCTTTTCTTTTCAATTGAAAATGATGTGTAAAAATAAGATTCAACTGTCCTTGTTTCATAATGGAATAATAACCCAGGAAAGAATTGAATCAGAATCCTATCAGAGATTAATGAAATGTATCATAACAAGGATATTTTAACAGCATAGCATTGGCATCAGAGTATGTGATTCCAGAACATACAAAACATAATTCATTTTGTTTAATTTTTCAAAAATCCCATTCACTGCATGGTCTGCCTTTTTATAGGATAGATCTACATGTTTTTCTTGACCTATATGGTATTGACTCAAATTTATTCAGTGTGACAAACAGATATAAAATATATAGAAATGAAAATACTAAAATTAATTGAGTGTAAAAAAAAAATTCAACTGTGTGACCAAACATTATTTACAATTGAAAACTGTTAGCACAAAATCATGAATGAAAAATACTCACAGCCAGTCTGTCCTTGGCATGGATGTACCTGAACCTCTGAATGTAGTAGAATATGAGCCAGGCCAGGCTGACAATCATGAGCACAATGAAGGACACACTGACAAATAAAATGGAGGTCCTGCAAGACAAAAAACAAATTCCAAGATAAAAGGAAAATACTGTACACACATAAAAAAAACTTTCTCTCTACTGTACACTCACTTGTTGATGTGTTTGTAGTGAGGTGACATAAAGTTGCCTGGAATAATGTCTACCCAAATGGAAGTTCCATTCTCCAGCATTTCTCTCCATCTTTCACCATCAGCCTTGTTTACAAACACAGCTGGGATCCTGCTCCTCATTGACGTCACCAGGTCTGAAAAAAAAAAACAGGGGCAATAAGGAGATAAAATATATACATATATGCACTCTTCTTTTGCGCAGTGGGGCCTGGGTTCTATAAAACAATCTTCAACTCACTGTATTTGAC